CATGATGCCAGAGGTGACGTCAGGTGACTGGTGACCCTGTGACGACTACTGTGCCCTCAACAGCACCATTGTTCCTAGTGCTTTATTTTCGGATGTTCGTTAGAGCTCATTTCGCTACCGAGACTTTCTCGAAAATTAACCTTGCTAGCACCTTCCATGCAAGTAATAACTGCTCTACAGGGTCTTACACTGGCACAAAAATCTCATATTTGGTTCCTGAAGTCGGGCTCTGTCTATCGGCCGCACTCCAGCAATCGTCTTAATTTAAGCAATCTGAGCTAAACCAGATGAGTGTATCGAATTTACTTGCGTCTCGCATCCAAAAAATCTGTCCCTCTCCATCCACTTCAAAAAATCCTACGTAGAGGGTGACATGCAATTTCGTAGGTGATCCGGGCTTGGAGCGTTCTTGCACTAAACAAGGCCACGACTCATGGCGGACTTTGACAACCACCTGGGAGATGTAGGTGGCCCTATTACGTGAAAGCTCTGTTTACCTACTCGCAGGGTATAGGATTAGAAAAGGCGCCCTAAACAAATGCTGGGACTATCTCATCTGCAAGCAGACCGTGGCTCGCTGACGTACAATTCACGGTCGAAAACAATCGAAAAAACAACAAAATCAATATTCCTGTCTCTATCCCCCTGTCCTACCCCACAGGCTACTAAAGTGAGTCTGCGGTCGGAGGCAGTTATCGGCCCCGAGCTGCTTTAAAATAAACACTCTTTACTCGTTGGCTTTGTCTATCGCCCACCCAATTCCATTAAAGGCTTTGATCTTTGTCTTTTACACGATTTTCAAACCGCGACTGCGGGCGACTTCAATTATTCTGAAGTCTGCTATTTCTTGCCTTCCAGCTACAAAATGTTAGAGACCTTACTCTAGGCTGTGGACGTCGGAAGGTGAAATCAAGTTGTAGATTTCCCCACCCGCGCATCAAGTATACTCCTGGAGTTGTCTGCCTTTCCCAGCGCCACTTTTAGGCCCGCTCGGGGATTCAGACCAGGACATACCTGTTTCTACACTAGAAACCGGGGATGGTAACATTTTTACGAATTATAACTTCTTCGATTTCGTATCAGCGCGCTTGGCGGAATAATTAGCAAACCTTATTTCTTATGACTGGACTGATTTCTTCCGAATTTCGGATGTAGATGTTTGTTCTGCTAGACTTTATGAAGTTTTAGACCAACTTGCTTGTCGTTGTGTTCCCCGTAAGAGGTTTCCTCCCTTTATCCTTATTCCTTTTTGTGCACAACCGTTCGAAGTCCTCAGATCCTCAGATCAGCCCAGTCCTGTCTGACCTGCATACGTACCCCTCATGGCTGACATTTATTACTGCCCTGACTACGTCCACATGTAGGCCAGTCCTGCCCCGCATTTTACTGTTATTATTTTTTAACGAGGGTTTTCTTCTGCTGTAAAATTAATCTAATCATTTTTGAATTTTAAAGTGGATTTTTTTTCACCGCTCGCTCATCATTTTTCTTAACGGACTACTAATTCAGAAACTATGAATTGCATTTTGTACAGATTCTATCTAACTGGTCTGAAATTCGCATGCAAATCTATTTTTTACTCGGTTTGATGGGACTCCCGACGGGTCTTTAATAAAAATTATTATTATTCCTATTATTACAAGTTGAAATTTGTTTATAATTGAAATATTTGACATATTTCCGCGTCAATTTTAAACTGACTTTTATTAACTGTCGAAAATAACATTTAACTCCATTTACACTCTCTCCAATTAACCATGACCGATGCTACGTTTGCTGCCGGCAAAGTAGATCTTTCGGCCATCGTGCGCTTACAGAAGTTTATCGAGAAACATGAACATATTTTTACGATTCTCGACTCACTGACGGACTCAAATACATTCACGAACAACCTAACGAACCTACCACAAATAGAATCGATTATACATTTAGTTTCATCAGAAGTCGTGGATGTGGAGTACTTTCGGCTGCTAATTGTTGCCTGTTCGCGTTACTCACACAGAGTCTGTTGAACCTAGCTGCTCTCTAGCCTGTCTAGATTCAGTCGCCTCAGTCGGCTTACTTCGTGCAGTCCGTACGCGCAAACGATGTAAATAAGTGCAGAATTGTACGGCAACACGGTTCTATAATTGGCATGATTAGCTAAATTTAAATGTTAAACTTACAACCAAATGTCTCCAGACGAACAGTCAGAAAGATGTGGCGTATAGTCAGACGGGCAGCGTCAAGTTACGCGGGATGAAAACGGGAGATTCAAACAAATAGTACGAGGTTTGGGGGAAAACAGAAGGCCATAATTTTCCGAGGCAAATGTAAAGTATGTGTTAAAGGGTGCCAATAAAAATGGGAAAACATACGTGGGAATGTACACTCCCACCCAAGATTTGCGGCTGCCGTTGGCGCGGATATCATTCATCGCTTGGTTCGTGGTTCTCTAACAGACACAAACTGCGCACGTCTCTCATTAATTTCCCTTGTTGCGTCCTCACTTCAACATCTCTCACCCTTCCGTCCTTTGATTCGAGCAGCTTTTCCACTATGGCCTTCTTCCAGTGTCCTCGTGACGCTACTTTGTCAACTACAAGGACCAGATCTCCAATACGGAGCTGTGGGGCCTCACCGATCCACTTTTGTCTAGCTTGCAACGATGGTAAGTAGGCACTGATCCACCTTTTCCAGAATATATCAGCAAGAGTTTGGGCTTGGCGCCACCGTCGGTTAAGTCTAGAGGGGCTGCATTCCTCAACAAATGATGAAAGATTCCGAGTACTCAACAAAAAGTGTTGGGGAGTGAGTACAGCGTACTCGTTCGAGTCCGTACCGTTCTTAACCAGCGGCCGGTCATTCATTATCTTCTCGGTCTCGGTTATGGTTGTTACGAAGACCTCATCTGTGACCACTTGTGAACCCAAAATTGAACGTAAAATCCGTCTGACGGACCGTATCAGGCGCTCCCATACACCTCCCCGATGACTCGCTGTCGGCCGCGTGAAGATCCAATCGCATCCCTTCTCCGCAAGAGAGCTAGCTATTCGATCCTGGTTCCATTTCTTCAGCAATTCCTTCAGTTCGTTCTCAGCCCCTTTGAAAGTGGGTCCGTTATCACTGTAAATTTTTCGTGGACAGCCTATCCGGGCAACGAATCTGCCGAAAGCACACAGAAACGAATCAGTCCCCACGTTTGTGATCACCTCGATGGGAACTGCGCGAATGCTGAGGCATGTGAACAGACAGCAATACCTCTTTTCCGACCGTCGGGCTATTTTTACCTGAAATGGTCCGAATTAATCGACCCCCGTGAACGTAAAGGGTGGATTATACGGCTCCAGTCGATCAAGCGGCAAAGGAGCCATCAACTGTCAACAGGGTTGCGAGTGCCAGCGCCGACACACAAAACAAGACCCGACTACTCTTTTAATGGGTGCTTGGCCTCGAATTATCCAGTATTTTTCTCGAAGGATGGCACAGGTGTGTGATATCCCTACATGACCATTTAGATGATGAACATGTTGCATGATTAACCGACATACGAAATGATTTTTCGGGAGGATAACCGGGTGTTTCGTTTCGTACGGAATCGGTGCGTATTGAAGTCGCCCTCCCACTCTAATCAGACCGTTGGAGACGAATGGTAAAAGGTGCTTCAGTGGACTGTTCATCGCTTTCAATTTCTTGAAATCAGTGTTTCGCAGATTGCTGTGTACGCACTTAAGCTCGTTTTCGAAGAATTGTCTCTGAACCAACCTCAAGATATCGCATTCGGCACCTCCTAAGTCTGCCACGGTAAGTTGCTTGGAGACGACTTCTGGTTGATGTGAGACCTTATTTTTCAGGAAGACTTGAAATCGTCGTAGCCAAGCAACAAGTCTTAGCAACTTTCTCCAGCTACCGCAGCCCGAATGCTCCGTTAGCCAGTGATCTTCAAAAAGAACAGCATTTACGGTGACATCGCATATTTTTGGAACAATAATGGGTCGCTGATCTGGTTCCTTGGGCCATTCGTCTGATTTCTTGCTTAGAAAGACGGGACCCGTGAGCCACATACTCTTTTCCAGCCTGTCACCAGCTACGCCTCTCGAAGCTACGTCAGCTGGGTTAGTCTCGGAATTTACATACCGCCATTGAGAAGGATCTGATAGGCCTAATATGGTAGAGATACGGTTAGCCACAAACGTTTCAAGACGTGAAGTGGTGTCCCTTATCAGTGGTAAGACGACCATCGAGTCCGTCCACATAGTCTTTGAAGAAATTGGTAATGTTAGTTCCAGCTTTGCCTGTTTCACTAGTTTAACGACCAGAACCGCAGCAGTGAGGTTTAACCGTGATATGGTTTGGACCTTGAGAGGCGCGACTCGAGATTTGCCCCACACAAACGTCGTAAATGTAGTGCCATCTTTGGTCACTGCGTGAAGGTAGACTACGGCCCCGTACCCGCTGTTTGACGCGTCCGAGAAACCGGGTAGTTGATACTGCTCGACAATATCCAAACCGACCGGGGTCAGACAGCGTTGGATTCGAACGTCGCTAAGACCCTGAAACTGTTTCGTCCAGTGAAACAACTGTAGCGCGTGCTCATCGTCGATCCTATCGTCCCATCCGAGATTGGAGCGGCACAACTGCTGAAGCAGCAACTTGGCCGGCAACAAAACAGGAGCAACGAACCCAAGTGGATCATAGAGGGTTGAGATATACGAAAGCATCGTTCTTCTGGTAATCTTCTCTGTAGGCCACTTGACTGTGAATCTGAATGAGTCCGTAGACTTGTTCCATTCGACACCTAGTGTTCTGTGGGTATCGGCTGGCTTAAGATCGAGGCAGATTCCCCTGTCGACTAGCTCTTCTTCAGGGATGTCCGCGAGGGCCTCAACCGAGTTGCTCCGCCACTTATGTAAACGGAAACCGTGAGTTTGCAGAGTCGTTCGCAAGTGTGAGGCTACATCCCTAAGGGCTTGTGCGGAGTCACGGCTGATCAAGCAATCGTCGACATAGAAACACTTTCGCAAGTAATTGACATTGTGCGCTGAGGGGATGTCTACCACCCGATCTATCGACGGATTTAGTGCGTAGATAGCAACACATGGAGAAGAGGTTGCCCCGAACGGGTGCACCGCCATTTGATAAACCTCAAGTTCTCGTGCTAAGTCACCATTCGGCCACCATAGAAAACGTAAAAACGAACGCTGGGCTTTCGGAAATCGGATCTGGTGGAACATAGCTTCTATGTCTGCAACCGCTACGTACTGAAACTCGCGGAATCTAGTCAAAACTCCACACAAACTGTTAGCCAGGTCTGGACCCTGCAGTAATTGGAGGTTGAGTGATGTGTCCCTGTATTTGCTGGCGCAGTCGAAAACTACCCGCAGCTTCTCCGGTTTCATCGGATTAACTACGGAGTGATGGGGTAGGTACCAAAGTTGTCCAGGAACGACGGTGGGTACTGGTACAACGGGTTCTGCGTTGATATATTCAGAGATGGCCTTAACATATCGCTCCTTATACTCCGGGTTTTTCAGAAGTCTGTTTTTCAAGGCATATAAGCGTCTGCGAGCAACAAGCTCGTTGTCAGGCAAACAGGGAGAACCTAAATTCCAGGGTAGAGGGACTTCCAAGTGCCCTCGCTTCAGTTGCGTATGGGATTTGAACAAGACTAAAACTCTTTTGTCTTCCACCGAATATGCCTTATCCAAACGTTTGGGCTCACCAAAATCAAATTTTCACATATGTTCTAGCGTTTCCATGACGGAATCTTTCTTGCTCAAAAATTCAACGTTCACTCCTCGACGATCTTGCTCAGCTACTGGTCCCATGAGTACCCAACCAAGAGGGGTACGAACTGCATAGGGATCTTCATGCCCGCCGTATCGATGTTCGAGTACCCAGTGAGCAGCAGGTACATTCATTCCGATTAATATTGATACCTTCACTCCTTCGACAAGGGGGCGCTCAATGTCACGTAGATGTTCCCAACGTGCTGCCTAGTTTCTAGCTAAGGCAAAGCGCCTCAACTTAGGAAGATGGCTTACAGACCAGGCCTTTTTTACTTCCAGTGGCTCCTGCCCTTCTATCGCAGACAGCTGAAAACCCACTATTTCGGAACTCACTTCTGCTGTCTGAACGACAGTGGATACTGACAACACTGCTGGTTGGCCAACGAGGCCTAACCGTTTCAACAAGTATTCATCGATGAGAGTAGTATCTGAGCCACTATCAAGAAGGCATATGTGATAGCCGAACCGAGAGGATCAAACACTTTTACTGGTAACACTCCTGGAGAAACGACTTGGTCTGCGCCGTAATTTTTGTGAGACAGTGGGCTGCTTCAACACTCTACTCTGGGTTCTCTTTCGTTTGGGACGCACCAGCCCCGTCTACTGGCCGGTGCAGCAGTGGATGGTGGCGCATGGAGCACCGCGCGACACCACATGTCTTGCGCGACCTACAGTTGATGGCATCGTGGTTGGGTTTCAGACAAGAATGGCATAATCGATTGCGTTCAACGAAAGCTGGTCTTTGTGGCAGGTTGAGGGCGACAAACATGCCACACTGATCGGTGTAATGAGCTTCCTCGCACTGCAGACACTGTCGGCGCAGCGTCGGGACTCTAGGTACTGTGGATACTGCTACAGTTTGTGTGTGATGCGTATAGGCCTTATGCATCGGTCCTCGATCGCCCGGGGAACGACTGTGCGCTGGGACTGGACCGGAGGAGTAGGATTGGTGTACCATCAATACATCAGCTCTCTAGTCCACAAATTCGGTTAGACCTGAGAACGTTGGCTCCCTTCCAAGGCGTAATATTGATGAAGCGGATTCTGACCATCTGAATTGAAGTGGTTGAGGTAGTCGCCTGACGATTGCAGCTGGCGTCCTAGATGAATTTAAATACGCTAAATATTCTAACTGCTGTAACGTGTTCTTGCAGTTCCTCATCTCCCCAGCCAGCTTCATCAGGGTGGCAGGATCCATAGATTTTATGATTGGACCGTCAATCAAATTATCTATGTGGGCCCTGGCAATGGAGTGGTGCTGGCCGAACCGTCGCCTAAGGATCTTGAGAGCTTCATGATACCCTTTACTAGGCTCCAAGATGGCACAGCTCTCAACGGCTTCTCTTGCCTCACCCTGGTAATAGTGGATTAGGTAAGAGAGCCGACTTTCGTCGTCGCTAACCCTTTTTGCAATTTCACTCTCAAAACTTCTTAAGAGCAGCCAATATTTGAGGGGGTTTCCGTCAAAGTACAGTATTTCCCGCTGTGGAAGGGAAAACTGAGGGGGCATAGGGCGCTGGTAACAATCATGACAGTCTGCCTTTGTAGTTTCTGGGTGTCTTAAAAGGTCAAGCTAAGTAATGCGTGATTGCTTAGACTATGTATCAAGAAGAGGCAGCGGCGGCGAAAATCCAACCGCTGAAGACTCGCCGGTAACAACGGGCTTTGATTCCAGCGGAGTTGTATCCAATACTGCTTTTGGACTGCCCAATTTAATTTTTTCCTTCAACTGCTCCTCCGAAATCCGTATCTTTTCCTTATATGATTCGAGGATAGTGTTATTGTCTCCAATCGTGGGAGAATATCTGTCCAAATCGGGAGCTGACAGAGATTTGTGTGACTCATCCATTTCTGAAGCCTCGAATTTGGTTAACTTTGTGGAGTACTTTCGGCTGCTAATTGTTGCCTGTTCGCGTTACTCACACAGAGTCTGTTGAACCTAGCTGCTCTCTAGCCTGTCTAGATTCAGTCGCCTCAGTCGGCTTACTTCGTGCAGTCCGTACGCGCAAACGATGTAAATAAGTGCAGAATTGTACGGCAACACGGTTCTATAATTGGCATGATTAGCTAAATTTAAATGTTAAACTTACAACCAAATGTCTCCAGACGAACAGTCAGAAAGATGTGGCGTATAGTCAGACGGGCAGCGTCAAGTTACGCGGGATGAAAACGGGAGATTCAAACAAATAGTACGAGGGTTGTGGAAAAACAGAAGGCCATAATTTTCCGAGGCAAACAAAAAGAAATGTAATGTATGTGTTAAAGGGTGCCAATAAAAATGGGAAAACATACGTGGGAACGTACTGTGGATAGATCAAAACGCAGACGCAATTTAATTAACCGCAATATACCCCACTCGGTTAACCCTACACCATCAATTCAAAAATTTATACATTCGTGTGGCCTTAACATCCGAGTGGCTAACACCAAAAGACTTCACTCTAGAAGAAAAAATAAACCCGTCTTAGTAACGTTCTACTCACAGACCGAAGGTGAGCTTGTCCTACAAAACCCCGAATTAAACAGAAATCTGCGGAACCTGAATTCATTTATAGGTCCAGATTTGACACCGATTCAAAGACGTAAACTTCGGGAAAAGACACCAGATACGAACACAATAATCAGCCTTCTAGTGTCTTAACTGAACCTACAGCTACTCCTTCTATTTCTGACACTAACAAAAAGAAATTCACAGGCCAGCGTTAGCAAAATGATAAACCCATAGTCCCCGTAGATGGACCTCCAGAAAGTTCTTCTGACTCTTGTTGTCATGACAAAAAACGCGTAACTGAAAAAGCAGTTAGGACTGCTGAGCAGAAACAAACAAGGGAGGCACAACAAAACAACAACGTTCAACTAGAACAGAACGATGACGCAGATCTCGGACCCAGTCATGTGACACTATTAGAAAGCCATATAAGTTTTACTACGCCCCTCAAAACCGATCAACTAGTAGTAGAAAACGACTGCCGAACGAGACACACAAACCAAAAGGCCTTGTTAAGCACGCCAGCACAACCAAAACGCCCTAATTATATAGACATAACAAATAGGAGTTCTCCACAATCTAACCTGAAACAAATAAGCTTCTATAACTGCATCCTCCAAGGACCGCACACTTATCTCCATTTAGCCCATCACTCAATCAAAGTACCCGCAGAAATCCTTTTTTCACCACAGAGCACCTCTTCCATATCCGACATCCCGAAGATAGTTCTTGTAAATTTGAGATCGATTGTCAACAAAATACACCAACTTAGAACTTCTGTTGAAATATATAACCCCGATATAATTTGCGGAGCCAGACTTTATATTCTGTGCAAAGATCGCATCTCACACAACACGTCTTATCCCCAACCAGACTACGTGAAGGGCAACTAGCTAACTGCCTTGACCTTTTATTGACAAAGGCACCGGAAAGCGTTGATGTTGTAAACTGTCTACCCCCTCTCGGAAAAAGCGACCATGTAGTCCTACAGTGGGAGTATTCTCTCTTCTCTGTACCCGATCAAAGCATCGTGATTAGACGCAACATATGGCGTGGTGACTTCAACCAAATGCGTCTCGACATGCGTCGTAGAGACTGGAAAGCAGCATTTACGGGGTGTGTCCTCAAGGACTGGCTAGAACTTAAGGCCATACTGAATGAACTTATCACCAGATACTGCCCTATGTCGAAAAAGAAAATCACTAGCAGGCCCCGATGGCTTAAGGGTTCACTAAAAGTTGAAGTAAACCGTAAGCAAAAGCTGTGGAAAGCATATCTTAGGGACAAGACAACTGAATCAAGAAATAGGTATAAGGCTCAGCGGAATAGGGTAAAGTGCCTTGTTTACAAAGCCCGCCAAGACTTCGAGGGTAACCTTTTAAACTGTGCAGGAGAAAACCCAAAGCTTTTCTTCAACTACATAAGACAAAGTACTCGCAACAGGGATCCCATCCCTATGCTAAAAACTGATGATGGCGTTGAACTTTACAAGGACGACGAAAAGGCTGAACATCTGTCCAGGTTCTTTTAGTCGGTCTTTACGAGAGAAGTCGCTGTACCCACTGATCACTGTAATGTGGACAATGTCCCGACAATTGACTCAGTGGTTCTCACAAAACCTATTGTTCAACAGGAATTACTGAAGCTAAAAGAAGGGACTTCGCCCGGTCCTGACGAAATACCCGCAAAGTTGTTGAAGGAATTAGCCACAGAATTGGCAGAACCTCTGAGCGTCCTCTTCCAAGCCTCTCTTGATGCAGGCAGACTGCCTCCTGAGTGGAAGACTGCGTGGATTTCACCGATTCATAAAAATGGCAGTCGCGCTTCCGCAAACAACTACCGACCAGTAAGCCTCAACTCCATATGCTGCAAAGTTATGGAGCGAATAATCAAACGCGAACTGATGCGGTTTTTAGAGCAAAATCATCTTCTGTGCGATGCACAGCACGGTTTCCGCAGAGGGAGGTCCTGCTTAACCAATCTACTCTACTGTCTTGAACAGTGGACCCGAGCGATTGATGAAGGAAACGTTGTGCATGTGGCCTACATAGACTTCAAGAAGGCATTTGACAGCGTGCCACACCAACGTCTCCTACACAAGCTCAGCCGCATAGGGGTAAGAGGCAAGCTTTTAAAGTGGATTGAAAACTTTTTGGTCGGTCGGTCCCAGACTGTTCGTCTTGGTGGCCAGCACTCGGCAGAGGTGACGGTTACGAGCGGAGTACCTCAGGGCTCCGTTCTTGGCCCTATCCTCTTCCTCATCTATATAGATGACTGTATCCATGGATTGGACTGCAGGATTGCCATGTTTGCTGACGATATAAAGCTTTGGAGCGTCATCCGCAACGAGGACGATGAAGCAAATTTACAGGCAAACTTAGACCGACTCGAAAAATGGTCAGGCCACTGGCTCCTCCCATTTAATGTTACCAAATGCAACATTCTGAGGATTGGCAGAACCAGCTCTGCGCACCGGCAGACGTACTATCTAAATCACACACCGCTGCCACTGGTAGAGGTTTAGAAAGACCTAGGGGTGTGGATAACATCTTCACTAAAGCCATCATTCCATTGCTTGAAAGCAGCGAAATCCGCAATGTCCAGCTTATATCTCATCAAGCGGGCATTTACCAAGTTCGATGAAGAGTGCTTCCGCAAGGTCTTCGGGATGTTTGTGCGCCCACAGTTAGAATTTGCCATTCAGGCCTGGAGACCCTGGACTGTTAAGGATCGTACCACCCTCGAAAAAGTCCAACGACGGGCAACCAAGCTTGTCAGAGGTCATAAAAACCTACCTTACGAAACCAGACTTTCAAATCTTAACCTCTTTCCCCTGGACTACAGACAACTCCGTGGCGACTTAATTCAAACGTTTAGAATGTTACGGGGTCAGGACTGCTGCCTCGCATCCGGCGACTTCTTTGAGCTGGCCACCACTACTAGCTTGAGAGGACACCCTCTGAAACTACGTGTGACAGGAGCGAGACTGGACGCAAGAAGGTCCTTCTTCAGCCACAGAGTGGTAAAGGCATGGAACGCCCTACCTGTGGATGTCGTCATGTCCTCATCCGTGGACTCATTTAAGAGAAAGTTTGACCAGTACAGGGATATGTACCTCCACAGCATCAGAAACTAACGAACCCCCCCCCATGTTCCACCCGTCCCATCCAACGTTTTATGTTACAAAGCATGCTACTCCCTATATTTTAGTAACATTACGTTTTACAATTTTCGCTATCTCCTGACCGCCACATATGCGCTTGCTTTGATATTACTTTGTCCATTCATTGCCGTACTGGATCTTGTACAATCTTGACACAGAAGGCATTCACAGACAAATTCATACCAGTGACCAATGCTTGCTGAAAGTTTTGAAAGTTATTTTCAAAATAAAGCAGTCCTCTCTAAAAAAAAATTACTTACCTAATTTTTTTCACACTTGCCTTACACATTGTTTTTTATGACGTTATTGTAACCAAAAGGGAGTTCAAAGGCGTTCGCCTACTTTTCCCTTAATAAATCTGATCTGATCTGATCTGCATTACAGAAACATGGGCAAATGAACTTATAGCGAATGCTTCGTTATATGTCCCAAATTATATTTTTACTGGCAGGACCGTGTTAATAAACGAGGCGGAAGTTGTCTTATCTACATCAGAACTAGCATTGAGCAAAGTGGTATTGATGTCCCAACCGAAACCTTTGTTGGAGAAGCGTGTTTTGCCACAATAAAATCTCACACCCAGGAAAGCATACTAGTCGGATGTCTCTACTTCCCGCAGAACGTAGTGGTGATGACACAAGCCTCAGCCACTTAATAAGCAATATAGCTAACATTAAAACAGAAAATAAGGTGATCGCAGGCGACCTGAACAGCCCAGAAATAAACTGGGTCGAATTATCGGCACCCACCGGGCACGAAGAATTGTTATCTTCAATTATCGTTAATAACTGGACACAAATAGTTGATAAACCCACCCGAGAAAACAATATACTAGACGTTATTTTCACCAACAACATCCGGCCCCTCTATATGCACTACGACTGTGAAACCTTTGAAAGTGACCACGAAGCAATAATATCAATGCTCACCTTAAACGCAAAACTAGCACCCATTTAGTAACACCCGCCTAAACCCAAAAAACTTGACGAGGACTCCATAAACAACCATATTTGGTCATTGGACTGGAGCCCATATCTTCTAACAACATCCCCTATAAAAGCAGTTAACCTGTTCTACTCTGTCCTGTTTATAATTCAAGCTACCTTGATAGTCGAAAGAAATCACCGGTCCCTCACTACTCTTCAACTAAACTAAAAAATATACAAAAACAGCTACACAACCCCTCTGTAAGTTATTTATCTACACTTCGATGAATCAGATAAGTGCACGACCTAGTTAAGAAAATGGAAACACAAAAGACCATAGCAACAGAACATCGGGAACTAGAATCCCCGAACGAACAGCTCAGACTGTTCAGAAACATATAAGTACTCATCGACAGTGAAGACCACGAACTATTATTGATGAATCCAGACAAGATATAAAAAATAACAACCAAATAGCAAACTCATTCAACAGATATTTCTCAGCTAACTTCACAGTCGAGGAGGTAAGGACCTAACAACCAACCGAGATGACAGAACGCATCCTTAGTGAGATCCGTTTTAGTGAATAAACTGTTAAAGTAGCCATCAAACAACTATCCAACGTCAACTCCTATGGGACGGATAAAATCCCACCATGTATTCTGGGGCATATGACATATGTTCCACTACTCCTATCCAAATTATTCAACTTATTCATTAAATAAATAAATAAATTTTAATTTAATGCCAGTTTACAGGCATTGTCAAGGGAAGCGATTAAACACAAATCCGACCAGCAGTGAAAAAAAACTCCTGAGCTTAAGGCATAAAAATATAGTTGATGGTGGTTTTTGTGGT